ATGTACATATGATATTTTATACAGGGTGACCCAAAAGTCCCGGTCGAATATTTCATAAACTATGCACTTTAGAAAGAAATGTTTCAGACAAAAGTTGTATGGCTTGAAGGGGGCCATCAGATAGTGGCAATGATTTGACATGGGAGAGTCATTTGAAAGTCACGTGAAGATCACCGTCAATTTCTTAAATGGAACTCGCTATTTTTTATTACATATTCGTGTAGTTGTTTTTAAGAAAAAGATATGTAATTTGCAATTAACAATTACATATTTTTTTTAAAAACAACTATGTGTTTTCTTTACACCAATTGATTCCTCTCATTATTTTGTACATAAAATTATTAAGGTAAGATAATCGAAAAATGAATATTTTACTAGATATTTTATAATTTATGTAAAATTAAGAAATGATTGCAAGCCTCATTGGGACATCCTGTATAACTTGAATATTTAAAAGTGGAAAATATTTTATGATTTTATTCCATAAAGAAAGTCCAAGATTGCAAGATCTTTTTCAAATGGAAAGAGAACATGCTTTTTACGTAAATTGATTATCTTGCGTATGAAAATATTAAGGTAAAAATGAAATATTTTTTTGATTCCACGAGTGTCTAAAGTTTATATATAGTTTATATATTAGTTATATATTATATATTAGGTGCATAACTCAAAAAGTTCCCGCCGTTTTTTTACTTGAAAAATGCATTTATTTCAATAAGAAAATAAATTAATATATTAATCAAAATATAATCCTTCAGCTACAGTTTTATTTAAATGAAAGCAGTGAAGAAGTATATGTCGAAAAAACAACTTATCACGTTTCATTTTAAATCGATTAAAAAAATATCTCTTTCACAAAAAATGAATCTTTGCGCACTCAATTTTATTGGTAAATACCTAACTTCACTACATTTGCAGCTGGAGCCATTTAATTATGAGCGAACTTAGTTATACACCTAATAACTTATTCACATCTGAAAAGTATTCAATTTTTTTTTTGTTCAATTTTTTTTTTGTTCAATTTTTTTTCAAAAGCAGATGTGCGAGAAAAAAATCTGCAGCAATATATTTACACTTAATATTTATCCTGTCGAGCAATATGGGATTTTGCAGATAAAAAAGCGGATAAAAAAAGCTACGATTTATACAAATTTATTTCAGCCTTTCTCGGAATTTGCGCCTTTTGATTTTGATAAATCAAATGTATAACTTTGAAAAGCTGTAATGCTAAACGCTTCAACATTTCTCTACATTGAACGATGAATAATTATCTATTTATCTACTCTCAATTTGCCTGATAATACATTTATATCGCTTTTATAGATATCTCTCTCTCTCTCTATTTCTCTCCTACATTCACTCTCAAATTATTACATCTTACATAAATCGCTCGAAAATGATATAAATATTTCACAACATGTACACTAACATGGTGAATAAATTTATTGTAAAGTGTCGAGACACCCACACATACACACACATATTTCTCTCATACGCATATTCTATGTTTATAAGCTGTACACTACTGCAGAGCATATTATCAGTATAAACATTTGAAAAGCCTTCTCTTAACAATAAACAGTGTATTTGACTCTCTCATCAACAGTGTTTGCTGTAGATAATTTCAAAATTATCTAGATAAAGATAAAATTATCTAGATAAAGATAAAATTCGTAAATTTATCTTAGCTGAGATAAAGATGATTTTGCTTTTATTTAATCTAGATGAAAGATGAGATAATTATTGCGATAATCTAGATAATTATCTAGATATTTTTGTTTATTTTAGAAGACTATAAATATTTGTAAAAAATGTGACGCAGATTATAAATGGGATATTAAAATCATAAACACATATTCTTTCTCTTTTCCTAAAGAATATCTTTTCCTAAATAATAACAAAAAAGTATATAAATGATATGATAAATATTTATTTATATTTATAATATATTAATACTATAATAATAATATATTTATAATATATTAATAATAAAAAATATTTATAATATATTAATAATAATAATATGAAAAATATATTTCAGATATTTTAGATAGATTTTTAGAAGCATGCCTGGAAAACTTTTTTGCACAATGAAAACGTCATCTTAGACAATTTTTAGATAAGATGATATATATTTTTCATCTAAGATAAAGATAAAGATACTTTGTATTTCTTGTATTTCTTCATCTAGTTAAAGATAAAGATGAGCCATTTCTTCATCTAGATGATTATCTAGATAATTTTATAGATACCAGCAAACACTGCTCATCAAACATCAAATCACTTTAACATGTTACGTTTTTTTGTTTCTTTTCTCTTTTATTTTATATACGCGTGTCCATATATTAATATTCACACACAGATAGTTGCTTAGTGCAATGAAATAGATTTCCACACACGTTTATAATGTTCACCCCTAGATTTGATCGACCGAACATTATTCACGCGTAGCTTTCGAATGGAACAACAGGAGAAAGCGACTTTATGGATACAAAAATTT